GAAATTTTATTTTAGATTATTATTTTTACGGTAGTTTATAAATTTGAATAAGTTATAAAATGAGTTTTGATGAATTTGTTGCTACTACTTATAAGTACTATTTTTATTAAATACTTTGAACAAAAACAATTTATTATTTCAATTTTTTTCTAAATTTATTTAATAATTTAATTCATTTATAAGATTGCAAAAAAATATATAAAAAAAATTCCGGTCTAAAGTAGGGTAAAACCGGACCGGACCGGAAATAAACAGGTCCGGTCTTCGGTCCTAAAAAATTGCAATTCCGGTTCCGGTCCTAACTGGTTCCGGTCCGGTTTTGGACCGGTGCACACCCCTAATGGCAACCATTTCTACTTGGCTTGCGAGTAACTTGCGAGGCAAATTTTTTAAGTTTTGTTTCTTTTTTAATTTTTTAATTTTTTTTGTATAAGAAAACAGCTTTGCTTTTTAATAGAGTATGTATATCTATTTTTGTAAAAAAAGATAAATAAAATGTTTTTTAATAATTAGTATACATAAAAAATGTTAAAAAGTGTAAAAAACAATGACTTACCACTGCATAGCATGCTACTCCACTCATTTACCACACGCTGATTAAGATGTTTTTGATTGGTTCAAATTTTCCACATCACCGTGTGACATTCTATTTTTGCCTCACCATTGTACATGCTCTTACCTTTAATTCAGAAACTTCAATCCTTGTTAGACTGCCAAGAAAATAATACTACTCGCTTAAGCCCTGTTTGGTACACGGAATTCAAATTATGGAATTGGAATTGAAGACTTCAATTCCAATTCTGGTGTTTGGTAACACAAAAATTATGTCGATTTGGAATTGATAGTGCAAAAAAATGAATTGGAATTGGTGAATTCAATTCTATGGAATTGAATCCCATGAAATTTCAATTCCAACTCAATTCTAATTCCATCTATTCCGTATACCAAATGGACCCTTAGGATCCGTTTGGTACACGGAATTGACAGAATTAGAATTGAACTGAGAGCCGAAATTCTATGGATTTGATTTGGGTGGAATTGAATTCTCCAATTCCAATTCATTTTTGATACTACCAATTCCAAATTTACATATTTTTGTGCTACCAAATAGTGGAATTAGAATTGTTGTTCTTAATTCCAATTTTATAGTTTGAATCCTGTGTATCAAACAGAGCCTTGGAGTATTTACATTCAAATGCATTTATATCCCCAACATGCATGTACCCAAAAGTAAATTTTTCTTTCTAACCATGACTTTACAAAATAAAATATAAGCTAACCACTCACATTAATTGGAGAAGAAATAAAAAAATGGCAACTTTAAAACTTATTGGAGAACTAAATTGAAAATCAAGAAACCAACAAAACTAAATTGTAAATTGGCACACTCATATACTAGGCTCCACCCCACTCCCTAATTCCTCTCCAAAAATGGTATTTAACCCAAACGAAATGGAAATCTAATGAACACAAATTTTGTTTTCAATATGCATCAATCCGATTAGGAATAACAGATTTTGAGATGAACTGATGAAGTTTATTCCAGAATTTCATTTTGACATTATATCTTATAGCTTGGCAAATTATTTCTGCTACTCCACTAATTCCTTATAGCATTTGAACAAGAAGGTAAACAAAAACTGAAATTGAAGATGAAAGAAACCAGCAGTCCTTAAAGGGCATGCTTGCTGCTGCATAGCATTACAAACCCACAAATTCACACAACAATTCAAGAACAAATGAAGTAATAACCAATCAACTTACTCACTTGAATTATTATTATTTTTAATTAACAAGCTTTGCTTTAATGCTTCCACATTCGCGAAAGAGCAAAAGACAATGCAGAAAGTTATTAACAAATATGCATATATCAAAGATTACCAAATTCCAGTTTCACTATACCCATCTTCAGTGGCACAAGCTCTAAACATGCCGGTTGTATTAAACAGCATGGTGACCTCTCCGGTTGCAGAAACCGCAACGAGGCCTGCGGTTCCCTTTGGGGTACAGTGCTGTATGACATAATCAGCTGCCACCTCGAGAGACATCCCTTTGAACTCCATAAGGGCAGCAACATCTCTGGCTACTGTGGCACGCATAATTTCTTCACCCTTACCTGTAGCGGATACTGCACAGAATCGGTTCGCATACGTGCCCGCACCTATGATGGGCGTGTCACCTATTCTCCCCACCATCTTGTTCACTAATCCTCCCGTGGAAGTGGCCGTGGCCAGACTTCCATTGCCATCAACTACTACACACCCAACTGTCCCAATCTGGCTATCCAAATTAGGGTTTGTTTCTTCATATTCTCCTTTACTAGCCATGATCACGGGTTGTGTATAATCGATCTGGATTCGATTTGCTTCTTTCGCTTGCTTCAGCCTCTCAACATTCTCTGAGGTGATGAAATTGGAAGTATCCACAGTTTGAACACCCTGTTCCCTTGCAAAGGCCTCAGCCCCTTGAAAAGAAAGGTATATATGGGGAGTCTTCTCCATGACAAGCCTGGCTAGAGATACAGGATTAACAACTGTGGTGAGGCCGGAAACTGCGCCGCACCTCTTCGTGTTGCCGTCCATGATGCAGGCTTCCATTTCAACAGTCCCACTGTGGGTCAAGACAGATCCTCTGCCGGCGTTGAAGCACGGAACGTTTTCCAGCTCGCGAACCACCAGTTCGACTACATCCAGTGGGGATTTGTTGGCCTTGATGGCGGCGACGCCCATGGATAAGCAATTTTGGAGGGCGGCCTCTCGGGGCTGACGGCGCTCTGGAGGGAGATGCCGGGGAATGTCGCCGGCGCCGCCGTGCAAAGCGATAGCCCAGCCCATGACCTACCGCTCAACACAACAATCGGCGGGATTTAATCGATGGAACTTAAAACAATTTGTACATACGTAATTGAGCACAAAAAAACGCTATGTTGGATTGTTGATTTCTTACCTGGCTCTTATCGGAAGTGAAGGGCGGCTGAGTTGAATCGCAGAGTTGAGAGGGGATGAGATCTGCAACGATTCCAAGCCGCCCGGCAATTGAGATTGACGACTGACGCCCCCGGCCGTCCGACGCTCAATCTGGCTGCTGCTGTTGCGGAAGGGTGCGTGAAGAAGATCGGCGGGTGTACTTCATTTTTAATTAATTTTTAATTAAAGAAGTATTTAAACTCGTTTTCATTTTCACGCATTTGTTCAATACACTTATGCAGAGTAATATTCATTTGTGAAAAAACGTAGTATTATTCTAAAACAAAGTAAACAAAAAAGTGTTCATTCTCAATTAATATAGTGTTCATTCTCAATTAACGTATTATTCATTCTCTTCAGATTTGAAAAATATAATCTAATAGTCTAATTAAACTTACAGTTCAAAACACTCAGCATCTTCAGCGCACACATCTATGCACCTGATCTCGACCATCATTTAATCACACCTAGGGTTCTGCATCGACCTCTCCTTTCTCTTCCAATCGCGAGATGCCATGTTCCAATTGTCATCTCTCCCTCTTCCGACCGCTAGTGCTACTACTAATTTTTGTCAGTAGTACAGGAAGAACCGTGTGGCAGGATGTAAGATATAATTTGCAGGACTAGGGAGGGAATGGTAAGGTGGAGTGGAGGTGGAATCTAGACTATTGGGGGATGATAATAAATAAACTAGATAAAAATGTCAAAATAATAGTTTTATATTTTTATTTTTAAAACAGAAGTTAAAATGTTAATAATATCAATATAAAATAAAAAAAGAAATACCGTAAAATAGTAATGTACAGTGTTATGTTGTGTGCAAACTGTTTTTTTAAGAAAAAAATGATAGTCCTATTTTATGAATAAGAGTTATGTATTACTTTTATTTTGAGTGAATTTCCTTGTGAGAAATATTAATACTTCCTTTGTCCTAAAACTACATGTTTCGCTCTACGAGTTTGATCGAAGTTATTTTGAATTAATTTTTTAAATTATAAGTGTAAAATTTAAAAATATAATTTTTATATTTAAACAAGAAATGACATGACGTTATTATTTTATCAAATAACTAGTGAATAGAGTTTGACAATATGAATAAAAAGTGTCAAGATAGCTTTAGGACTGAGGATGTTTTTTAATGTCATTCTTTTTTGGATTTTTTTGCAGGTATTTTCGCTTTACACTATTTTTTAGTAGGCTATTTCTTCACTCTCTTTATCTTATTCGATACGTGTAGTATACGTTTATTCGTACGTTCGTGAATAATTTACATTTTAAAAATACATCTTATACAATCAAGGTACGTATACGGACACCATCGTGTTCTATTAATTTGATTTTTAAAAAACGGCTTATAATGAGTGCAAATATTTTTAATAAGAAAGACAATTTAAAAATTGAAATTGGATAGAAATACATCATAAAAATTTAAAAAATCAACCAATATTATGATTTATTGTTTATTCTTTTTTCCATGTGTATTCAACTAATATCTTTCAAAAACTATTATTGCGTGCTTCCACAAAATATTAGAACACATTGTTAAAAATGAAGCTAAAATTTAGACACCAATGGAGCATTTGCTCAAACACACAACAAGACAATTTTAGCTACCACACAAGGTGTTAGCGGGTATTTGTATTTACTTTGTATTGGGCTCACATGTAACCTAGCCCGTAACCCGTTATGTATTCATGTATATAAACAACCTCTAATGATCAATGCAATCAGATCGGTTTTTCACTAAATTCTACATGGTATCGGAGCCAAATTCCTTGGGCACGATACGTCTGATTCTCCGCTGACGCTGATCGCCTCTATCGCCGGCGATCTCTGTGTTCGGCGTTTGTTGACGGTTCTTCGCGGGGCGCTGCACGGCGACCGAGGGTGTCTCGGTTTGGTCCTCTCTTGTGCCGAGTATTGAAGATCGGTAATGGCGTCCGCTACGAAGAAAACCCGTTTGATTCATGATCCCTCGCCTGAGTATTATCTTCATCCTTCCGAAGGCCCAGGTAATGCTCTCACGAAGCATGTTTTGAAAGGCAATAATTTTGATACATGGGAGAAGACTATTGTGAATGCGTTAAAGGGTCGTAGCAAGGCAGGGTTTTTGTCACCCGTTGGTGTGCCTAAACCTACAGATCCAATGGAAATTGAGGCTTGGGAAGCCAATAATTCTACAATTTGTAGCTGGATTTTTAACAGTGTTGAAGAAACAATTCAACCTAGTATTGCTTCCCATACTGTGGTTCATGAATTATGGACAGATTTAAAGGCGCGTTATAGCACGGTGAATGAGCCTCACATATACCAACTCGAGAATGAGTTGCAGAATCTTCGTCAGAAAGGTCAAAATGTGGTCGTTTACTATAATCAATTTGTCACTATTTGGAATAAATTATATGGCATGGAGGATCCTACTTGCGGTTGCAAGTGTGAGGCGGCTGCTTTGTTGAAGGATCGTGCTGAAAAATCAAAAACTCGGAAGTTTTTGTTGGGATTGGATGATGAAAAATTTGGTAGCTTACGTGGAGAAATCCTTGGCACTCAACCGTTGGTAGATCTCAACAAAGCATTTTATTTGATCACCCAAGAAGAGAGACATAAAAGTGTGGTTCGTGCGCGTGACAATCACACGGATGCCATGGCGTTTGCTACCACACGGACGACTCCAAATATGTATCAATGCACTAATTGTGGAAAATCGGGACATACCGTTGATAGATGTTATATGATCATTGGCTTTCCTAACTCTGGCAGAGGACGTGGTCGCAATTCTTTTAGTCGAGGGGGAGGCCGCGGGAACCGAGGAGGACGGTCTGCTTCCCAGCCGGTACCCACTGCCGTAGGTACTGCCGCCGGCCAACATACAGGCAGCGCTGGACCGTCGGCTCATGCAGCGGCCGAGGCTCCCCCGTCTCGTCTCTCTCTGCCTTGTCGCCCGATCAGGTTGCCCGGTTATTTTCGATGCTTGAATCATCGCCATCCACTTCCGAGAAGTTGTCAGGTACATCCGGTGTTAATTCATGTGAATGTCTAATAGACAGCGGGGCCTCTCATCATATGACAGGAGTTCTCTCTTGTTTGACGGATATCAAACCCGTGCCTACGTGTACTATTAGCCTACCGGACAGAGCACGCATTGTGGCTAACTCGTGTGGACGAGTGCGGGTGTCTCCGAATTTGATTCTTACTGATGTGCTTTATGTGCCTAATTTGAAATGCAATCTTATCTCTGTGAGTTGTCTTGTCAACTCTCACAACTGTCATGTGTTCTTTAATGACCAATTTTGTGTGATACAGGACCAAACTTTGAAGACGCAGATTGGACGATGTGAAGTGCGCAATGGAGTATATGTCCTTCCAACATTCGCCCAGGCGTCCAAAGTCGAGTCTATTTCTCTTTTGCATCTGCGTCTTGGTCATCCGTCACCTCACGTTTTGTCTTTACCTCCTTTTAATAAAAGTGCAGCTAAAATTAAAAATTTTCAGTCCTGTGACATTTGTTTCTTTTCCAAGCAAACTCGTTCTAGTTTTTCTTCAAGTCCTAATAAAGCTGATGCCTTGTTTGATTTTATTCACTGTGATTTATGGGGCCCATATTTTCCATGTTTGTCTACTGGTTCACATTATTTTCTTACCATTGTTGATGATTATTCTAGAGCTGTTTGGGTTTTTTTATAATTGACAAAACAGAAGTTACTAGTTGTCTCAAACAGTTCTTCCAAATGATTCAAACCCAATTTGGGAAAGTTATAAAAGTTGTTCGTACAGATAATGGGAGTGAGTTTGTGAATAAACCATTGCGTCAATTTTACTCTTCCATGGGGGTACTTGTTCAAACTTCATGCGCTAACACCCCACAACAAAATGGGTGTGTGGAACGCAAACACAGACATATTCTTAACGTCGCACGCTCTCTAATGTTTCAGGCTTCTTTACCCATTGAATTTTGGGGTGAATGTGTGCGTACTTCTGTGTATCTTATTAATCGTACCCCCACTCCTCTTCTTCAGGGCAAATCACCCTTTGAACTCCTTTCTTCAAAACCTCCAGACTTGTCTCTATTAAGGGTATTTGGGTGTTTATGTTATGTTCGTCTCAACCCTCGCCCGCAAAATAAATTTCAACCCCGTAGTATTAAATGTATGTTTGTGGGATATCCTACGGGAACTAAGGGTTGGCGTGTTTATGATCTTGAATCCCATAGGTTTTTCTATACCCGGGACGTTTCGTTTGACGAAACAATTTTTCCGTTTGCTTTGACCGCGCAACCCACCGTGTCATCCACCACCGAACCCACTACCCATGCAGACTTTCCCACCACCCAACCCACTGCCGAGCAACCCACTGTCCCGTCTCTATCTCCTGCATCGTCGCCTCCCTCCGGGCAGTCTCCTCTCCACTCCGATAGCGACGGCGAGTCTGCCCCGGACAGTCCGCCATCGCCCATCCGTCCTACCCGTGATCGGCATCCTCCTGCTAGGTTAGCTGATTACTATTGCCATACCGCCCGAACATCTACTCCCATTGTTCCTAGCATTGTTTCGTCTAAGTCTTCAGGTACGCGATAGCCTATCCACAATTTTGTTCATTATGAGATATTTCATGACAGGTACCAGGGATTTTTGGCTGCGGTGACTTCGTGTGAGGTCCCAACTTCTTTCAAACAGGCTATGTAATATGCAAATTGGAGACAAGCTATGCAACAGGAGATCACCGCTTTGGAAAATAATCACACGTGGGAGGTCACTGACCTTCCCCCTGATGGGACAAAAGAGCGTGATAAAGCTCGCCTGGTCGATTTGGGAAACCATCAGGAGTTTGGTATGGATTATACAGACACTTTTGCTCCTGTGGCAAAAATGGGTACGGTGCGTATTTTATTATCTGTTGCTGTTGCACGAGGTTGGGAGATTCATCAGTTAGATGTTAATAATGCTTTTTTAAATGGTGATCTTATTGAGGAAGTGTATATGCGCATGCCCCCTGGTTTTTCTATTCCTGGAAAAGTTTGTCGTCTTCGAAAATCTTTATATGGCCTCCGTCAGTCTCCACGTAATTGGTTCCATAAACTCAGCACTGCACTTTGTCAGTGGGGGTTTAAACGGGCTCATAAGGATCATACTTTGTTTATTCTTCGACAGGGCCCTGACATTCTTACGGTCTTAGTTTATGTTGATGATATCTTGGTTGCAGGCAATAAATCATCTTTATGTGCGTCTTTTAAACGCTATTTGGAGCGTTGCTTTTAGCTCAAAGATCTCGGCCCGGTCAAGTATTTCCTGGGCATTGAATGTGCCCGATCTGCTTCGGGTATGGTCCTGTGTCAGCGAAAATATGCTCTGGAGATCTTACAGGAGGCTGGCCTTTTGGGTTGTAAACCGGCGGACACACCGTTGCCCACGACGCATGCCCTTGGCACGTCGACCGCGGCTGCCATGCACGACCCTGCGCGGTATCGCCGTCTCGTGGGTCGTTTGATTTATCTCACCATCACTCGGCTGGATATTTGCTATTCTGATCATGTCTTATCTTAGTTTATGCAGG